CCTGAAAAATATTAAATACTAATGCTCAAAATTGTTCTTAATGATTTATCTCAAATGAGCTGACTCTAGACAGTGATAATAACAAAATTCATATATGCCAGAAAAGACTGGACAGAAAATCTCATCGACATTATAGGGCAGTCGTAACAACCGAAGTTTTGTTCTGATACGATGAATCTTGTTTTTGAGAAGTCTTGCAATTTATTTCCAGATTTTCGCAATTGTTATTTTAGACTTTGTCCGCGTTTATAAAAATCTGCCAAGCTTCGCCCTCGTACAAACAAGCAGTCTTTTTTGTTCTTTCTATATTCTGACAATCTGAAGCCGAAAAGTAAAAGAAGAGTTTTTTGTAGTTTTTTGAGTACATCAATATAAGTAAGCCGGGTGATTGTTTGACTGAACAAATTCCCGTTGTTCAAATCCCAAATTTTCTGGAAAATAACAAAGTCTATCCTCTTGTTACGGCAAAATTTAGAAAATTTTGACGCGCATAAGTTTTTGAAGTAACTTTCGGGTATAAATTTGACTCGTCTTCACTTTCTTCTATATTTGATTTTCACATTTGTTTAACATTGTCATTATGAAATAAGGTTTTACTTTTTTAGATGAAAAAGTGTCAAAATCTTTCCCTCAGCTATTTCAAATCAAGAGCGAGAACTTAGAGTATTTTTTTCACATGAATGCCGAGTGAAACAATTGAAGTTTTAAATAAATTTTTGGATGTTTAGTTTATACAATTACTGCTGTGAAAAAAGCAAAGTTTCAGGATCGATGCATTTTTTCACTTCGTATTTCTAACTACTAAGATTTATTACCTGCAGAAACTTTAAGATGTACATAAGTGCATTTTTTTCTATATATGAGACAGAAATTGATCTGCGGTTAATTGATCGTTCATAACCCTACCAAAGGTATTTTTATATTTTTAATCACGATCCGACAATCAAAACATGGATTTTTTTCATCATCATCGCTCACTTCCCGATTAATTATAGTCAAATCAATTACTAATGTGTTAAATATGCGCTTTTTACTTGTCCTTGGTTTTAGTTCTGCCTATCCATCATTTTTCAATCATTCCGACTGCTTTAATTTTCTGCTTAACACTATTTGATGGGGCAATACAACAGTGCCGAAGTACAACTGCGCCGAAAAAAAATTAGTTCACCAGTGCCGAAAATGAAAACTTGTTCAACAGTGCCAAAAATGTGATTAAGTTTCAACATATTAAGTGCGGCAATCAAAAACTAAACGGCAAACCTTTATAATTTTAAGTGACGCTTAAAGATTTTGAGCAAGAAAATTTGCAATTTAGACGTCTTGGCCCCAAAATAATTGTTTATTTTGCAGTTGCAGACATTTTGGCGTTGCAGACATTTTTACAAAATGCATTAAAATTATTCTGAAAACTTCCCGCTTTTTTCGGCACTGTTGTACTTCGGCACTGTTGAACGCCCCCTATTTGATTTCTGTTCATCGCATTTTTTAATTGAGAGCAGTTACACACGTCATTAGTACTGTTCAAAAACGAAACATTCATTTGAAGCTTTAAATAAAGCGTAATTTTTTAGTTTAAGGGATTAAATCAACTAATTATCACTCTTTGCGCAGGTTGAAAATAGGAAAAAAATGTTGAAGAATTAAATGAGCTTTTTTTTACCTTGAACAGCTATTTTAATATTAATTATTCAAACGAAAACTGCATGCAGAACAAATTAACTATCTTGACCAAACTTTTTCTTAACTTTTATAACAAAGTTTTGTGCATTAATTATGCAGAAGACTAGCAAGACTGCTCATATCAGGGCTAAGCACTGAATGTTCCGACTGCCTTTTAACGTTTCTGAAGCAATAATAATGTGAAAAAATTAAATCTAAATAAAATAAAATGAATTTTTTATTACAATTTGAAATATAAAGGCCATAAAAAGTACAAAGTGATAAATTTCGCTCCTAGTAACAAATCAATTATGGCAAATTAGTTTTTTTTAAAAAATTTGGAATGATTTCTGAGACAGATTAAACCTTTGCTTACGCGTTAATAGCGCGAATCGCGCGTTAAATGTCTCAAATTGGCCAAAACAGCTATCTTTAAATCCCTATAACTTTACAAAAAATGATCACAAGTGAAGTATCGTTTCAAATTTAGGCTCAGGACAACAGCAATAATGAATGATACAAAAAATTTTGTCATGTTAAATGGCTAGTTAAACAGTCGAAACTTGCGTGAAGAAAAAAAACCCACCCCGAGCTTAAATATTCCGCTACTTCCTTTACGAAAGTCGGAACAAAAAGAATAACTGAAGGATTTGAAAAGTGGAAGCAGTGAATGAATTTTCAGTTATATTTAACACATTTAGCACAATCTGGATATGGATAATATCGGCCATCAATGCCTCTTTTAAACATTTTGCATATGCCTGCTATACAAGATGGCTTGTTCCATTATAAGGACAAACTGTGTAATTTGTAAAATGTAAACGGTTTCAGCAACAGGCCAAAAACAGATTTGCTACGGAATCCACAACAAATTTTTTTACAGTTCTGGGATCCATAGAAATATCTTAATCACTGTTTTGCTCAAAGTTGTTCAAAGACAGCCGAATTGGCAGAACTCGCTATAAAATTCGTGAAATTTAGAACAGTTAGTGAAAAGTTTAGAAAAATGCCTCTTTCAAAATTGAGCGCAAAATTTTATTGTGTAGCAACTTAGTTTGGATGCGATAAATGTTATTTGGAAGTAAAAATTCAATATCTTTAGTTTGGTAGATAAATTAAAACAGCACAATTAGCGTCAATGATCACAAATTTGAATAAGATTTGTTGTTCTATTTTTGAAGAAAATAACGGAATATTTGAGCTCAGAGTTGTTTTTTTTTTCCTTCAGAAAAACTATAGATTTTTCAACTGGTAATTATTGTGGGATTTAAAAAAACCTCAAAAAAAAAATTTGGGTTCTGCACTCATTTTAAACTTTTTTTTTACCAGTGATTAACTTTTATTATTGGAGTTTCCTAATTTAGTCAATTTGTGTCAACAAGCGCTCAATTTTTCTGTGCAATGTGCGCGTCAGCCGAGTTTAACATGCTACTTGTTCTATTTTATAGTTTGGTATTTGCAAAATCTTTTACTTTGTACCCAACATAGCGTGTGGGATGATGATTTTAAAAAAAATCGAATAGCAAGGTTTTAAATTATCCGCTTCTTTTTATTGATAGAAATTTGATGGTGTAATCACTTAGGTAAAATTGGAGGAATTGATTAGTATTAGTTGTCTATAACACTAAAGTAAATTTTTTTCCTTTGAAGAGAGATTTCGCTTTTTCTAAAGCAGTTGAAAAGCCACTTATAGAATATGGTATCTTTGTTTAAAATAATACCAGTAATACTCATCAAATAAACTGGGAGCTATTTATAAGACTGGTAGCTATTTCTTTCAGTTGGTAGCACTATACCTTTGGTACAATTTGAAAGGTTCGCAAATTCCGACACTTTATGAATTTTTGTTTTGTTCTACTAACTGAAGCTAATCTCAAAATTGATTAAGTTTCTCATACTTAGAAGATAATTAGGATGTTCTGGTCTCTTGCTTGAAAATTATTAACTGTTCATCAGCATTCATTTTATGAGTTTTTTGCATTAGCTCCTCGGTAGATATTTCAACTAAACCATAACAAAAAAGAAGCGGGAAGGAATTATGTCTTATCTTGAAAGATTTGGCTTGGATACCTCTTTTTTATTCAAATTTTTATCTAATTTGATCACTTTTATTTGAAAACCAGTCAGCAAAAAAAATTATTTAACACATAAAATTAGGAAAATTGAAAAAGTTTTTTTTTTGAAATTCAATCTTTATGGTCGGAATTTTGTGTATACTCGATCCTCGCTCAGCAACCGGATCTCTTTTTTTCAGGATCTTTTTTTCAGGATTGGCAGAGAAATTTAAAATGAGCTGTAGAAAAACGTCCCCTGGTGAAAATTATTTAAGCTGTTACCACCAGTAGCTATGCGGTACAGTGTTGGTCGAGCAAAATTTGGGTCTACCATTTTTGACTTGTTAAATAAAATATTACGCCAAACCACTTGATCGATCACTGACAAAATTATATCAAAAAGAACTGAACTTTTTACGTAGCCCAACAAAATTTAGGAATGGTACATTCTCCAAAACGGCTCACTTTGATGTATTTTTGTCAGCAATGGAAACAAAAGTTTGACATCAAATTTGATTGACAGTAATGCTTGTTTTTGGGGTGAAATTTCGACCCAAATTCGCAAAGCAAATTGCACCATACATTTTGATTTTACTAAAATTCTCAGCAAATTTGGTTTTTGAAGAAAAAAAACGCGTTTTACATTTCTAGTTTAATATTTTTTGTAAATAATTTAAATCAGCACTGTACCAAATAATTTAAATCAGTATTGTACCATTTAGTATTCCAAAGCGCTTGATATCTTACTTGAAATAAAAGAAGTCATAAACAATGAACCCGTTCAGTTTACTGAAAAGATCAATAAAATCAAAGTCGAACTCTTTTCTAAAGGCGTTTGCTCACGCCTTGTGTTTAGATGTATTCGATTTTTGATAAAAACGCTTTTTTACACCCTTCGACAAAAATACGCGCAAACTCAGGTTTTTACTCTCAAATGTTTAAATTTAAGGATTATTTTGGACAGCAACTACTTTGAACTGAAGCTAAGTTTTTAGAATGACCGAGAGCAAATGTTCTCAGCTACCCTCTATGAAACGACCAATATCTAGTTTCAACGACTTAACAAGTAAATGTTGTTCATACTAAAAAACAGGCGCTTTGAAAAGTAAACGCTTAAGATTGCGCCTAATTTTGTTCACTGGAGTTTGTTTTTTGGGCACCATTTTCAAAATTTAATGATACATATTTTGATCTTTTAAGTAAGACTTTCAGTATACCTGGTAAAAAAAATTTTTTAAATTTATAACTCATTGAAATAAGCTTTTTTGGCAAATTTTCTTTGCTTACCGTTGAGCACGAAGTTTCCGTACCCGAGGTTGGGTATGATTGCGAAAATGGAGGCGTATCCCCAAACCAGTGCAATAATCTTGAGGGAGCGGGTCTTGCTGGCGATCGATTTAGCCTCAGCCGAGAACGATATCATAACGTATCTGTCGTACGCTATTGCTGTCATCGAGAGAATTGAACCGATTCCTCCGAACGTCGCAAAAGTTCCCGACACACGACAACCTGAACAAATTTTAAATGTGTAAACAAAGCACAAAAACAAATACATGAAAAAATTTTCATGAATTCCCATCTTCCTGGATAGGTTGAATAATAATCGCAGGGATGGGAGAGGGGGTTGAACACTTATTTCATAAAAAAAATTAGATTTCGAGAAGACCATGCAGGGGCGGATCTAGGATTTTCTCGAGGGGGGGGGGGGGGGGCGGATTTTCAAAAAAAAAAAATAGAACTTTTGTCGACATTCTTTTTTTTAGGTCGACCAAACTGATTTTCTGAGCTCTTCCAAACTTCTATAAAGACCCTGATTTGACCAAATTTCCTGCGCCGCAGACAAAATTTTTTAGGCAATTTTTCAAAATTTTTGACCAAAAAGTCGCGTTTTTTTGGTGCGCACTCCCCCTCAAACTTAGCATATATTGGCGCTGAAGGCGCCTTTAGAAAATTTTTAGGGTCCGTCACCAAATATGGATATCTCAAAATATAACAAAGGGGGACTCTTTGGGTCGGCAGGGAGTCAAATCCCAAAAGAAAAAATCCGCTGGTGAGGCCATGAGTATAGCAGAAATTGTTGAAAATTTTTGCAAATAGTTTCTAAAATTACAACAATAATGGATTATACTCACACTTTAGACAACATTTTTCCATTATAACCAATTTTTATCCATGAAACTCCGGTGCGCGACACAAGGCAAGTTTCATTATCAACAATTAAACCTTTCTTGTTGGATTTCAACAACAAATATTTTGTCAGAACTTTGCGCCACTACACTTGTCTTTGGATTCAACAGAAATCACTAACAAATATTAAAGTTGTCTCTGTGGAATCCAAAAACGTAGGATCATTATTATGTTGAGCTCACTTATAAAATCGGGTTGGGTGTTGTACTGCAGTAATACTCTTTAAAGATATATATTTCTGGCCAGCCGACCATCAGTTGCTCGAAAGGTGACATAGGCCCCAATATGCACTACTTTGAAGGGGAGCGCTTGACTTAAACTCACAACTTTTGGTCTGAATCTTACTCAACCCTGTCGAAAAAAACAGCCTGTGCACGCCACTCCACTGACCCAAAAAGTTTTGAAGTTTTTGCTTTTTAGTCTAATTTCGAATAGTTAAAGCCAGCTCGTAACATTTTGAAAACAAGACTTGGTTATGTAATTTTTCAGAAATCTAAATTTAATCGAAAAAACTAATTTTTTTCAGCTTCATTTAGCGTTTTTTGTCCATAAACAGGTTTTCATCAAAACCCAAAACCAATCTACTAAAAGTTAGGAAAAATTTTGAAAGTTATAATGTTTCTTCTAATCACACGATACACAAACAAACAGAAGTTAAAAAAATGTATTTTTTTTGACAAAGAGATCGGCTTTTTGGGTTAGTTGCACAACAACCAGCTATCCTTTTTTCCTTTTGTTTTTTTTCGAAAAATTTACATATACTTAATCATTGAATTATTTCTCTATAAGGGTGGCAATCAATACTATGTACCCTAGGTGGAGGGGGCGCGGATAGTTACCCGCACTGACAGAAATGGTTTCCGGTCGATTTAAATCGATTTTAAATCGATTTTAAATCGATTTAAATCGATTAACCATGACCATTTTACGAACTCAAATGGATTTTAAATCGATTTAAATCAATTTTTTTGAAAACTTTAAATCGATTTAAGTGTCTAAAAAATCGATTTAAATCGATTTCGATGGATTTTTCGACTCACTAAAATCCATCGGAATCTCACTTAAATCCATCAGAATCTCACTTAAATCCATTTTAAATCGATTTAAATCGATCTTTTCGAAAATTTTAAATCGATTTAAGTGTCTAAAAAATCGATTCAAATCGATTTCGATGGATTTCACGACACACTAAAATCGATTTTTTTTGCTAACAAGGCAAAAAAAATATGCAAATGCAATTTAGAAAACTAATTAAAATTCTTGAATTTTTAAATAAAAACACACGTACCAGATATTTCAAAAATATGCAAAAAAAATCATAGAAAACCATCATTGTAAATCAGATGTTGTGCATTAACATATGTAACAAATCAAGAAAATTGTCAAAATAAACCAGATTTTGAGCTCAAAATTATGCAATTAAATCATAGAAAATCATCATTGAAATCAGGTTTTGTTCGTTAACATATGTAACAAATCAAGAAAATTGTCAAAATAAACCAGATTTTGAGCTCAAAATTTTGCAATGAAATCATAGAAAATCATCATTGTAAATCAGATGTTGTGCATTAACATATGTAACAAATCAAGAAAATTGTCAAAATAAACCAGATTTTGAGCTCAAAATTATGCAATAAAATCATAGAAAATCATCATTATAAATCAGATGTTGTGCATTAACATATGTAACAAATCAAGAAAATTGTGGCAGATTTAACCCGAGATTCTCTCCGTGGCGTAGCGAGAGTCTCTGTATCCTCCGGGGGGGAGGGGGGAGGGGGGAGGGGGAGGCATTTTACAAGAATTTTAGTCAATTTTACAAACATTATTTTAGCATTGCAAGCATTTTAGTCAATTTTGGTATTTGTAACGACACGTGACAAAAATTTTCAATCTTTTTTCTGTCATTCGAAAATTTGAAGAAAAAAAGAAGTGGAAAAAAATCGATTTAAATCGATTTAAAATCGATTTGGATCGATTTCATTTTAGGTCAGATTTAAGATCCATTCAAATCGATTTAAAATCGACTGGAATCGATTTTTTTAGCGTTGAAATTAAATCGATTTAAACCGATTTAAAATCGATCCAAATCGATCTGAAATTTTTGTTTTGACTAACTTACTTTTTTACAACTTAAATCGATTTCAATCTAATCTGCATACTTTTTTCATACTAAAATCGATCGAAATCCATTTTTGTCAGTGCGGGTAAAGAGATCCAAAATTTGAAACAAAAAAGAGCTGATATTTCTACATGATAACTAACAAGGCTGCTCGTATATCAGGGCAAAACCCTGAATGTTCCAACTGCCCCTTGATTCATATCAAATAGATTTTTGGTTTAAAAATATTGAAAAATATAGTCATTTTGAACAATATCAGATCAAGTGTGAAATTTTGAGTCGTACGAAATTAATACGACCGATTAGCTTAGCTAGCGTCAATTCAATTTGGAACAATTTTGTTGTGCGGGATAATTCGCCACGCATGAATAATTCGCGCTAGGCTTTCAGGATTATATATATTTTCAAAGAGCGCATAAATTAGTCCCGAGCATGGCCAAATTGGCAATTTTTAAACTCCCAAAACTTTGCAAAAAATGATCGGAGATAGAATATCTTTTTAGATTTTAATTTAGGGAGTCAATTTCTTCAAAGGGGCATAAAATTTTTTTGTTAAAAACTATTATTTCGATCGCCGCAAATTGACTGAAGACCGAAAACGACCGCAAAAAATCACACCAAGTATAAAAATTCCACTTTCTTCGCAAGTCGAAACAATCATAAAAGGCGTACAAAACTCGCATTAAAATTTTGGCGTCGGCTTCGTAACTTCATTATGTTTTGATGTTTTTGGTGACACGTTGATTTCAAATAGCCGCTTTGGTTGAGTTTTCCTTTGAACTTTATGATTGCGTCTCCCAGTTGGTTTGATCAATTTAAATTTCATCAAGGAAACCTTCCTTTGATGAGAATTATGAGCGCACCTTCCACATCATTCGAATTATGTCATTCCTTTTAGGAAGGTACTTGAACTTGGTCTAGCTGTTAAATTTTTTATGTTTCTACTGGGAAACAACTTATATGATAATTCATACTTAAGAAAACTAATTTTTCAGCTGGATTTGACTTAAAATGGTATAAAATATCAAATTGCGTAGTCAAATTAAAAGGATTGATTTAAAAAAAAACTTGGCTATCTACTTATGTATTTGTGACAAAAATTGGCGAAACAAACAAATAAATTCTTCCTTAAACGTTAAAATGCAAGCTAGTGTTCCAAAAAATTTGTTCTTTCTATTCAGGTGCGGATCTAGGATTATAACGAGAGAGGGGGGGGGGGGGGTGCGGATTTTCAAAAAAGTTTTCGATAATTTCGTCGAGCTTTTTTTTAGGTCGACCAAATTTATTTTCCAAGCTCTCTCAAAGCACTAAAAAGTGCCTGCTTTGGCCATAATTTCTGCACCGCAGGCAAAATTTTGAATAAGAGGCCAAAAAGTCGTTTTTAGGCACTTTTTTGGAAAATTTTAACCAAAAAATCGGATTTTTTCGGCGCGCTCTCCCCCTTAAAATTAGTATATTTGGCGCCAAAGGCGCCTTTAGAAAAATTTTAGGATCCGCTTGCCAAAACAAATCAAAAATCTCAAAATAAAAAAAAAGGGGGACCCTTTGGGTCGGCAGGGGGTCGAATCCCTGAGGAGGAGCGATCCGCCTCCTTCGCCCCCCTCTAAATTCGCCCCTGCGTCTAACGATTCTGATTGATTGAAAAACATCTATATTTTGGTCCCTTCCATTCTGAGAATATCCCCCCCCCATTTATGATTAAAAAAGCTTTGGGTGTTACTATACTTTTGAGGGGAAAGCACATGCCGAAAAAAGCACTTTTTGTCATTGTTCCAAAAAAACTTCCATCAGAAAATCATTAAATTTTTATAACAGAGGTCGACAAATTCCTGCCGTTGTTACCAACATCAGAGGAAATTGAAAAACAAAAAGGCGAACAATAAGAAAAAATTATATATTTTGTGTAAATACTTTAATTTTTCAAATGATTATATGGCAACTTATAAGATTACAGTTGAATTTTGTACTATGATAAATTGTTAATTTAAGTTCAATTTTCTGTGAATCAAAAAATTTTGTCAGAATAGCGTTTTAGAAATTTTGGTTTGAAAAAATTTTGGCCGAACAAAGAAAAAGGTGGACGGAGTTTTTTTTTACATATTTTTTTTCAAAGTCCCTCCCACTTCCTTGAGAGCTTCTCAGATCCCCGCATGCTCGGGGGCCAGGGAGATTGGTACGGTGATTTCAAAGTTCAATAGGA